TATATTTTTAGTAATAACTCCTATAAATTCAAATTTTTATTCAAGATGAATGTGGACCGTCCATCATGTCAGATCTAGGTATGGGTGGGGCCCTCTAAGAGCAACTGCAATGGTATAGAAAGAAAAAAACTTCGTTAGCTTACTTGTCCAAGTAATATTCTATATTTTTATAGGTAAAGAGAGAGAAATTGAACAACAGCTCTATTTGAGAGAGAAAAAAAAAAAAAAAAGAAAGAGAAAGAAAGAAGAGGAGACACAACAAGGAGAAAAAAAAGTAAAAAAAGGAGAGAAGAAAATAAGAATGTAGAGAGAGAAAAAAGGAAGAGGAGAGAGATAAGTAAATTGGGCTTCGCCTGCACAAAGCACGATCAATTTTTTTTTTTTTTTTTCAATCAAAATATAAGCCATTGCATTGTATTTTTTGAAATATCCTGAAATAAAGCTTCTAATATGACAAAGAAGCTGTTTATATTAAAGCTATTGCAATTACTCTTAAATAAATTTATTTTTGGTAAAACTCTCATTGCGTTAATTATAAAATAATTTATGTTTAAATTTAATTATGATATAAATTATATTATGAGTTTGTAGTGTTTTGGTATGAATAAATTTTTTTATATGAAATTATAGAATTAATATAAAAAATAATATTTTATATTAAATATTGATTTTTTTAAAGATAATAAAATACTGTATAATATAATATATTAAAAATTGTATGAAAAAAATATTTTGAAAAACAAATTCTATAAAACAGTAGATTTTTAGGAATTAAAAATATTAGATTAAATTTTTATTAAAAAATATCAATTTTAATATTGATTTATTGGTAAACTATATTGTAATTTAAGGTTTGTTCTTTTAGTGCATAACATAATTTCTAAAAAATATATTTTTTTTCAAAAAAAATTAATATATAACATACGTTTATTATTTCTATATGAATTACACAATTATCTATATATTTTATAAAAAAATATTTTTACAAATTATTTCACTAAACAAATAAACCTTTAAATTTTAAAAGATATAATAAAAATTATTTTTTATTTAATTTTTTTGTATTGATAAAACATATAAATTTATTTTTATATGAAACATTTAATGATATGAAAATTGTGGGATGTGTTTACTTATAAAATTTTAATTTTTTATTTTCATTTTGAATAGTAAATTTTTTAATTTAAATAATAATTTGATACGACATAAATAATATTGATGTTATATTTTTAATGTAAAATTAAATTTTAATATATGATAAATAAATCAAATATATTTTTTAAAGAAAAAAATTAAAATAATAAAACCAAGTAGAAAATTTACCAATAAATACACCCATATAGATTTTTGGAGGTCATTTGATGTGAGTATAAAATATATTTGGAGTTCTTGATAGCTTGGATGGAAATAAAAAATAAAAAATGCAAATGTTGCACAGTAAAAAGAACGGAAAAAAACTATGTATTTAATTAAAATTTTATAGGATTTTATTCCAAAGATCCATTTTTCTCATAAAACTTTGTGAGCACTTAGCTTAGAATTTTGAAATATCAAATAATTATTTGATTTAGAGAAAGTATGCAACTGACTTGTCACCGGAACTTTTAAAATATAGGTGTATTTAATTCAAAATGTTAATTTTTTTTAATATGATTTTTTTTTTTTTTTGTAAATATAGAGGTATTCATTTAGACTTTTAATTATATAGTATTTTTTTAAAATCATAGAGTATTCAAAAATTTATAAATTGGATATTAATGAAAAATTGTAAAAGAAATGCATAGAGTAAAATATCTCCTCGTAATAACATTTTTGGATGAATTTTTTAAATCATTATTATTATTATTATTATTATTATTATTATTGATATATAAATAATAATCATAATAATATTTATTATGACTTTTTAATAAAAACAATAATTTAAAGTTAAAATATACTAGCAAGTTATTATCAAAATTTTAAAAAATATAGTATGTTTTTATATTATAAATAAATATTTAGAAAATACTATTATTTTATCATAATAAATGGAGTATATATTATTGTCTTCTTATTTTCATTTATTGATTACACTGTGTTGTTTTTCTAGTAAAAATGAATTAGATATCAATATTTTTTTTTTTCGTTGAATTGTTAATTTATATTTATTATTTATTTAAATTTTAACTTTGTTTTTCAAAAATAGTAAATTCTGAAGATGCAGATTTACCACATCTCAACATAAGATATAAAAATTTAGAATTTTTTTTTTGGAACTAAACTACGATAAACAAGAAAATCTAATGCATGTAAAACGTGTATTTCTTATGTTATGTGGAAAACGAAGCCGATGTATAACCGTGATGATAATGACGCGAATGAAGATAAAAATAAGTACACCCCCTACTTTAAGTCTATCATCACGGTGTCTTGGATTTTTTTCGGATTTTCGAGCAAAAATAAACACACAATTAAATGTATTTTTAAAATAATATCACCAACGCCGGTGTCGGATGGATAAGATGTGAAGGGTGTCGATTTCGGTTAAGAAGAAGGATGGCGGAATGATGACAAAGAAAATGGAAGCAGATCGGCGAACGCACTTCGCAGTGATGCCTAGAGAAGCAAGAAGGACTGATCGAGGGAGGGAAAAAGAGAGGGAGGGGGAGACAGACTTGGTGTTGGAATTTATTATTTATTTATTGTGTAAAAATTATATAAATAATATTCTATCCGTCTTAGATATAGTGCAATATTTGTTTTCGACACTAGAATTTAGATGAATAATATTAAACATGATAATTTGAGAATTAAATAAGAGAAACGTGTATACTTATTTGAATTATTTGAATAATGTGATGTGAAAAAAGTGTAGGATAGATATTAGATATATTTAATTATTTTTTATTTTAAAAATATTGCAAGAATGTTTGGAACGTAACAAAAAAAATATTACATTATATTTGGGATAGACGGAATAATCGATTAGATTGTTAAAATATAAAAATAATTAAAATAATAAATTTAATAAGAGAAATTTAAATTTGAATTAAAATAAATAAAATAAATCATAAAAATATTAGTGTATTAGATATTAAAATACTTTAAATTAAATATAATTATATAATAAAAACTTACAAAATTTTAGATATAAATATGAAAATAATAATATATTATTATTATATAATTAATAATTATTTATTGTTATTAATATTAGTATTATTTTTATTTTATTAATTTAATACTCTCCCGAATAAATCGTATCTTACTAAAATATAATTAATAAGTAATTAAAAATGTATTAATAAAAAACAATTGTTGTATAAAAGATAATTATAAATTAAAATTAATATTACTATATAATTTTATTAAAATTAAAGAAAATTATTAATGATGAATTTTAAATTATAATTAAAATGTATAATAATATTTTAAAAAATTAAAAAAAGGATAAATTAAGACTGACCGAAGAGAAGAAAAAATAGATAATTTATATGGGATGAAGAAATAGTACTCCCTCCGTCTCAATTTAAAGTACTATTTTTCACTATTTTCATTTATCACATTTCAAAGTATTTCTTTTATTTCAGAAAAAATAATCATACATTAATACCAAAGTATCATTGACTTTTACTTAAATTATAAACATACTATTACACATACAATTACTTTATAAAAAAAATTTAATGGGCAAAAATGTTAAAATCTCTTACACATTTCCACTAACTAATATGCTGTGTTTGTTCGGGGGTTTGGATTTTGGATAGATATTTGAATAGTAAAAAATTTGAATTTGAATAGTTGTATGATGTGATAAATATGTATTGATGCGATGTTTTAAATGTAAAATTAATTTTTAGTATAATGTAAAAAATAAAAAATAGATGTTTGATTTGATATTTTTGAAGGAAAAAATTTGTATGAATAATAAAAATCCACACAAATTCTTCAAACGAATATACCCATAAAATACAATTATTTATTAATTTACTGCAAAACTAATAGGCCTCTTTAAAAGGAACTGAGATAGTAATATATAATAATTTTAATTATAAAATATATTATTGTTGTAAAATATTTTTTTTTGTCCAATTTGAAAGTTTACATTTACTTTTTGGCGTATTGATCTTTAAAATTAATTATTATATCAAAATATAATATAAATTAAAAAGAAAAAAATAAATATACTTTTATTAGTGTCTTATAATACTAATAGAACGAAAGTAAAAAAATTAAAAATATTAATTACAAAAGGTAAATATAAACTTGCAAACTACAACTTTACCATAGTAGCTAATACATGATACATCGTTCTTCTGCCCAATACTATGGGTGGGTGTGCTTACTTGAGTGATTTGCTTTTATGTTTTACTATTTTAATTATTTTTTTAAAAAAAATATTAAATTAAACACCTATTTTTTATTTATAATATTATATTAAAATTAAATTTTATATTTAAAATATCACATCAATACATATTTACATTAAATAATTATTTTAATTTAAAATTTTACTATTCAAAACCAAAACTCAAAATCCAAACCTTTAAACAATCCCTATCATTTCTTTCTTTTTCATTTTCTTTCTTTTTCATATTCGCCGTTCACGCGTCCTGTTTCCACAGCCACTGCGCCGCTGGCTCGTTCAAAATATAAATAGTGGCCGAACCTCCGGTTCAAACCGCTAAATCGACTATTAGACCAACAGTTCGCGGTTTGATAACCCGCACCGTCTGTCCTGCAACATTGCAGAACCGCTGCACTGCTGGCCGTGCAAAATAAAAATATAAATATAATTAGTGGCCGAACATCCGGTTCAAACCGCTAAACCATCGGTTGGACCGACAGTTCGCGGTTTGATAAACCGAACCGGACTGACTGTTTCGGTTCGAAACGAGCTTGATTTTGGTTTGATCAGTAACGTCCGGTTCGAAACCGGATAGGCAAGTCTAGTCCCAGTGTCCCACGATTTGTTGTCAGATTTATCCAAAAGCGCTCTTTACGACAAAAGTTTTCGTCTCGTACGTTATAAAAAAAATCGTCTCGTGTGCGTCTCTGCTGCTGCTTTGGTTCAATCTGCACTTCGATTCTCCAACGAGCTTTCCGGAAGTGTATGTTGAATTATTTCGCTACTGATTGTTAATGGAGAGCACGGTATCAGATGCACGACCATCGTTTCCGGTGGACTTGGAGTACCAATCAGGCTTCGGGAACAGTTTTTCGTCGGAGGCGATCGCCGGAGCTCTTCCTGGTAACCAGAATAGTCCTCTAGTCTGTCCTTACGGCCTCTACGCTGAGCAGATCTCCGGTACTTCCTTCACCACTCCGCGCAAGCTCAATCAACGAAGGTGCTGTAAATGTTTGGTACCGCGGAGTATTTCGCGTAAGTATTTTGGTTTTTGATCGATTGTTGAAGTAATTTTTTGTGAAATCAGTTGGCTGTACCGTGTGAAGCCTTCGGTGACGCACGAGCCGTTCAAACCTAGAATTCCCGAGCACGAGAGGCTAGTGAGCGAATTCGATGAGTCAAATAGCTACGCAACTCCGACACAGCTCAGGTGGAAGCCGGTGGAAGTTCCGGTGACTCCGACCGATTTTATCGATGGATTGTACACCGTATGCGGCGCTGGAAGTTCCTATCTACGGCATGGCTTCGCAGTCCACATGTAATTACTTCCATTCTATTTTTGGTCATTCGTATTTTCCGATTCTCAGTCCAATTGGTTAGAATTGTTTTCAGCAGTATTATGGCTATTAGGTTTAATATCACTGCTTACGTATTAGGATCTAATAGTAGAGTTTGAAAATTGATTTAGCAGTATCATATACAAAAAAACTGGTCAATTAATGAAAACTGCTGTTCCATGAGTTGAATAAATGCAATAGTGGCTCAAGCTAGTGTAGGGAAAATAACACCCTTAGTTATGTTACTTTCGTACTGTGTTTCTCTCATCTTTTAAGGCTATTTCATTGAGGAATTGGTTTAAATTGTATTTGACAAGGGGCTTGTTTTCGATTAAATGGTTTTATGTTATCCTGGAATTGGCAAGAATGCTAACTTCATTGTTTAGGGGTCATGCCACATCAATAAATTAAGGTTAAGCCTATTCAATCATGTCTGGCTGAGTAGTTGCACCTCGATTCAGGTGAAAGTTTAGTTCGTGGGGCAAATTAATTCATGTTTACTAGCTTAAAGGTGAGTTGAGAGACAGGTATTGAAAAGGGTATTTACATGATGTCAAGCTAACCCTGAAATTCAATTTGTTTAATCATCTACATTTTGGTTGTGTTTCCACCTGCAACTGTGTCCCCCACACGCTGATTTCTCACCTTTGTTGTTTATACTATGATTCTTAGAATCACTGCTCTTGGCTTTGGGTAGGCAGAAAATGTATTTCCATTTATGTTCTTGTTGAATGCTTTCATGTAGGTACACAGCCAACAAATCAATGGACAATTGTGCGTTCTGCAGTGCTGATGGAGACTTTCTGATAGTTCCTCAAGAAGGAAGTAAGTGATTCATAAAATTTCATTCATTTCAGCATTATTGTACACTCCTAAGTGTGCCTTTTTAACAGGGCAGACACAGAGCTGCTTGACACATTTATGATATATTTAGATAGGTTGATCTGACTTATTGAAATGAAACCATGTCTGAAAAAAGGCTGTTTTTGCAATGGATATAAAAGCCTATATATCTTGGTTGATTTTAATTCTTCCTTCTTTTCAATGGATCATTTTAATTCTTCTTCTTTGATCTAAATGCCTTTATATGTCTTATAGGGACCCTTGATTTTTCCTTGTGTCATTTTGACTAGTTTCCTACTTCACTATTTCTGTTATGATTCTAGCAAGACTTGTAACTATTATGAAAACCTTCCACTGCTTATCTTTTAGGGCTGTGGATCACCACCGAATGTGGAAGATTGCAAGTATCTCCTGGAGAAATAGTTGTCATTCCTCAGGGGTTCCGTTTTGCTGTTGATCTACCGGATGGACCCTCAAGGGGATATGCAGCAGAAATATTTGGAACTCATTTTCAACTTCCTGATCTCGGACCAATAGGTGCATTCCTAAATTTGTTTAGAGCTTTTCGACTTCATAAGGCCATTCTCTGGAAAATATAAACAAATTTTAATAGCTGCTCAAGTATGTACTTTCCTCTGTAGGTGCTAATGGTCTTGCTGCTTCAAGGGATTTTTTAACTCCGGTGGCTTGGTTCGATCATGTTTCCCGACCAGGTTACACCATTGTGCAGAAATTTGGTGGCAAGCTTTTTACTGCTAAACAAGATTTCTCTCCTTTCAATGTAGCAGCTTGGCATGGGAATTATGTTCCATATAAGGTTGGTATTTCTAGGATATTTGTCCATATATGGATTAGAATTATATTCTACAATGTGGGATGGTTACCGTGCTAACCCCACCCAGCACATATAAGATAGCCGAACAAAATATGTTTTTATTCACGTAGGTGTGCTGTATGAATATACTTTTGTGCTGAAATTAATTGTAGCATCTGTCATGTGGTATATCGTCTATTGGCAATCTATGTGCTACATTTGTATTAGTATGTTAATATAATTCATATGTTGTCTTCTTTATATCGTGTGTGCTGATTATCCTTGTATCATGTGTTGTGTAAGACTATATTATGTGTTGTTAGTAGCATTTGTATATGTTAACATAATACATGTGTTGTTTGTCTTTATATCGTGTGTGGTCTGTCCTGTAGTGGGACTATGTCACTTCATGTGTTGCATTTGTATTGTGTTAATATAATTTATGTTATGTTTATTTCTATATCATATGTTTTTCGTCCCTACATTGTGTATTGTGTGTCTCTATGTTGTGTGCTATCTGTTTGTTTGTTGCATTTGTACAATGACTTGAACTTGCCCTGATGAAGCACATTGAATTTTTCAGTATGATCTGAGCAAATTCTGCCCGTATAATACGGTGCTGATTGACCATGCTGATCCATCCATAAATACGGGTATGTTTCATGCAGCCATGGTGTCGATGTTCTATTTGTGATGATATTGTTCGAGCAAGAGTACTCATTTTCAAATCAAAATGTTCCAAACACAAATGCAGTTCTGACTGCTCCCACTGATCGACCGGGTGTGGCGTTGCTTGATTTTGTCATATTTCCACCCCGGTGGTTGGTTGCTGAACACACATTCCGGCCTCCGTATTATCATCGCAACTGTATGAGTGAATTCATGGGCTTAATATATGGAGGATACGAGGTACGTAGACAACTCAAACTATAGACCATTCTTTGCTGCTTCTGCTCAATATGATGCTCCCGAGTCCGTAAGAAATGCTAATTGGGAAGTTTAAATAGAAGCTTGAATCATATCAATTCTTGATTTCAGGCAAAAGCCGATGGATTTCTTCCTGGCGGTGCAAGCCTTCACAGCTGCATGACTCCCCATGGACCCGACACAATAACATATGAGGTAAGGTTCTCTGTTGCTCAATCCCACGATCTAATGATTAGATTTAAAGAATGTCTAATCAATTCTTCAAAATGAAACCGAGTCTTAAGTACATTATCTTTAAGTAACACGATATTTGCGCTCGATCTTGTCAAGTTAGTGTTCCAAAATGGTTATCAACTATGCAATCGATCTTCAACTTAGCTTTGATCACTTTAAGCATTGACTAGAGGATTTTTTTATTTTTTATATTTTTCTTTTCTTTTTTGGTGAACGCGATGACTTCCTAGGAGGTTACTAATCCTAGTACTACCTTAACCTTGACGACTTTAAGCATCAACTACTAGACTTTTTTGTAGTGCAACACGGGCACATTCTAGGAGGTTACCTATCCTAATATTATCTTAGCCTTGATGATTTAAACATCGACTACTAGACTTTTTTTTTTAAAATGCTACATGAGAACTTCCCAAAATGTCACCCATCTTACTATTACTCCCGAATTCTGGGGAAATTCGATGTGTTAAGCTTCTATGGGTTGTAGGAATCTAGTACTAGACTTGATAAGACTCTCTTTCGCAATAGCTTGAGATTAATTCACCAAATACTAGTCTGTTTGTTTAATATTTATAGTTTTAAGTATTTTTACTGTCAAGTATAAAGAATGGAGAAAGTATTTAGAAAAAAAAAAGGGATGTTTTTGTATTTCTTTTTTTTTTTTTTCACTTCATCAAGTTGTGCACTCAATACAATTGTGTACTTAGTGAACTTTCAACGATCAGGCCACAATTGCAAATGGAAACGAGCCAGGGCCGCGGCGAATTTCCAACACGATGGCGTTCATGTTCGAGTCGTGTCTAATGCCGAGAGTGTGTCCATGGGCACTCGAGTCTCCGTTCAGGGATCACGACTACTACCAGTGCTGGATTGGCTTGAAATCGCATTTTACAAGCCCCGAAGAAACCCAGTTGGATGTCGACGGCGACGGCGAGGTCGAAGGCTCAAGGTAAGTGAAGGTATATATCCATCTACCTCTCTATATTTGCAGTATTCTTGGTTTCATGCTTATTGTACTTACGTATCTACACATGCTTAAGGAAGGGTGTTTGGGTTTTGTTTTTGGATCATTAATTTTTTACTACTACTATTTTATATTTTCAATTTTTTATTTAATTAAAAAAAATGAATTCAGAATATTATACTTCAAAATTAAAATATATTGTGTATTACGTAATATCGAAATATGCCAACAAACACGCCATAATTGATAAGCAAATTATCATATTTAGTAAGTGAAGTGTTTGGAAAACAGTCAAATTAGATATCGAAAACAGTCGTATGTAATAACTAATGAAAATCGACATCGCTTGTGTTCGGATGTAGCTTTGCAAATTAAATTTAGAATTGAAATATATTTATTTGCCAATGTTGATATAATATTTTAAATAATAAAATTTATTTTTTAAGAAAAAAAAATAATCAATTAGTAAAAATTCATTGTATAAACTTATCCAAAAACAGATAAATGAGCCAACAACACGTCGTCACTGGATAAAGATGTCTATGTCCTGATCCAACAACACCTCAAATTAAACTCCAGTCCCCAAATGATATATAGCAACTGACGAAGAGGACGACGAAATGAACATGAATAAATTAATTAAAATTGCGTCATGACGACAAACTCCAACAACATTTTCTGCAGAAGAATATTTTCATTCGTCTAAATAATCAATCAAGAATCCTATATTCGTTCATCCCTTGTTGAGAATTTAGTTTATTTGAATTGTTGAATAGTAAAAATTAAATTTAAATACTTGTATCCTGTGATATAAATGAATATTAACATGATATTTTTAATGTAAAATAAAGTTGTAATATAATATACTCCCTCCGTCCCGATCCAATTGAGTTTTTTGGAATTTTTTAGTAGATTAGAAAATAATATTCCCTCCGTCCAAGTTAAAAGTATACAATTACTTTTGGCGCGGAGATTAAGGAATAATAGTATTTCAATTATAGTGGGTAGGTAAAAGTAGTAAAATGACATTTTTGTCCTTATTTTTTTGGTATAAAAGTAATGATGTGATGTAAAATAGGGGTATTTGTGGAAAAAAATAGGGTATTTAATGAAATAGTTACTTTGTAATTGGACGTCCTAAAATAGAAATATGTATATTTTTTAACTGGACGGAGGGAGTAGTATTTTATTTGTCAGTGTAATAGTTTTTGACATTTTTGCTCTTTGATTTTATGTATACGTAAGAATATATTTATGATTTAAGTAAAAGTTAATGATATTTTAATATTAGTGTATGCTTATTTTTTCTAAAATAAAAAATGAATACTTTGAAATGGAACAAACGAAAATGATAAAAAAAAGATACTCCCTTTGTCCAATTGAAATGTTACCATTTTTTATTTTCGTCTGTCTTAAAACAAGGTTACTATTTTCTAATTTAGTAATTATACTACCTACCTAACATAATAAATAACATTTCAATTTACAATGTATTATACAAATATCATTACTTTTATATTACACCATATTAATAGAGATATTTTTGTTTTTTTATTACAATCTAATATAATACTAATATTCAAAAATTTATTTGCAAAAAACAAATGTTACCCTTCCAATGGGACGGAGGGAGTACTTTGAATTAAGACGGAATGAGTATAAAAGAAAATAATTGTCTGATTTGATATTTTTTACATAAAAATAAATAAAAAAAATTGTAGTAACACCTAACAAAAAAAGAAAAAAAAAATACAACCTAAAGTTTCGTCTAAAAGGAGTTTTTATTTTTATTTTTATATATTTCCCCATCCAACTTAATTTGTCCATTATTTCTATATTATTTTGTTCCACATAAATTATATATTTTCTTCTTGGAAAATATAATTTACACTTTAATCACATTTTAAAATTCATAATTTTTAACTTTTTCTATTTAAACTATTTAGTCATCTTAATTTTAATCTATAATTATTTTTATTATATCATAAATTATTTTTACTTATATATTTTTTAATTATTTATTAATTGCATAATATCTAAAACTTTATGCCCTAACTAAAAAGTGAACAAATTAACTAAGACAGATGAAATGTAATTTTGCAATGTTCCTTTAATTATATTTATTTTTTCTAATATAATTTATAAAATTATCTTAAATAAAAAATTAAAACGAAGTAGTAAAAAAAATAATCCATATTATAATATTTAAAATATTAGGACAACACGCAGAAAATAAATAGAACCGAAGAATAGAGCACCATGGGTGGAATTAGGTGCTGAAAGACACCCATCAACACCAGACTGATTTATAACTAGCAATTAGATTACAAAATTAATCCAATAGTTTGTATTAATTTAATGGTATAAGAGTAATTTAACTATTTTCATAATTAATATTAAATAGACAACATTTTTTAAAATATGATCAATTGATTAACATACAATAAAATTAACAAAATTTTACAATTTCTATTGCGAGTATGCACATGATAGAAGTTTGTAGTAAAGATTAATATGCATAAAAAAATTCAGCATTCATTGTTGTATAAGAAAACTCAAATTTTTGTTAATTAAAAAAAAATAGTATCTTGTTCAGTTGAATTTAGCATTTGCATGTGCACGAGAGAGCATTTCATATTATATTATACAACCCTATACAATAATCAATATTTTCTAAAACCTGTAACAACATTTTATTATTAAAAAATATGGAGCATATTGTTTGATATTTTTCAGCATCTTATATAAATATGATATATTGATTCGAATGCAATAGAATTAACAAAATCAGATGATGCTTACAATTTCTATTGTGAGTACGCACGTAATGGGGATTTTTAGTTAGATATAAGATGTAGAAAAAATTCAGCATTCATTATTGTATAAAAATATTCAAATTATTGTTAATTAAAATAAATCAGCATTATGTTTCATTAATTTCAGCATTTATGGGGAGCATTTTACAACATAATATCAGTTGTCGACACATGTTTTCCCACTACTCTTCCGATCACCATCACCACCCTTCTTCCACCATCGCCGTCACCTTCCTCTCAATCCTCTCGTACTACTCAATCGCTCAACAACAACGTTCTGCCATTCAGTATTAGTGGCTTTTCACCCATCAACCAAGTCAATATATTCTCACAGAGAAAAAGATTACCACTAGGACAACAGCAACGAGAACAGCAACTGCAGTAAGGACAACAACAACGACGAACTAATAACAAGAAGGCGCTAAAAATAATGATTTTTGGAGAAATCTAAATTGGATAAATAAATTAGATAAGAAGACAATCTCCCTCTTACTTAATCTACACCATCGCTTTTATATTAAATTCAATCATTGGCTGAAATTAAATTTAGCATCATGCTGATAGATGTGCCATCATTAGGGGATCCACATCCGAGTAGCATATATATATATATATATATATATGTAATATACTCTTTTCGTCCCATTGAAAGATTATCGTTTATTTTTTACACATAATTTTTTTTAATATTATTAGTATTATATTGAGTTTTAGTGAAAATGAGAAAAATATCTCTATTAGTATTGTGTAATATAAAAGTAATATCATTTGTGTAATATATTGTAAATTGAAAGAGTAATTATTATGTTAAAAAAGTAGTATAATTACTAAGTTAGGAAATAATAATTTTGTTTTGAGACGGATAAAAATGAAAAATAACAAAATTTGATTGAGACATATAGAGATAGAGTATATAATTTAGAAGTTAGTGTATTTAATGGAATTTAAGGGCGTTGTGTGTATTTATGTATATATGTATATGCATTTCTTATTATTATAATATAAAACTCATAATTGTTACTCTTTGCTAGAGCAGACAATGGGTCGATTCGTGTTGGGTTCGTGTCGATTTGAATACTTTAAACGAGTTAAATTACTCAACAATAACTCGATCCGTTTATTATCGTGTCGGGTTCGGGTTGATCCGTTTATTATTGTGTCGTGTTCGGGTTGACTCATGTTAACTCGTATACATAATTAAGTCAATTTTTTTTATTTAAATTAAATAATTTTTTGTTGTGTTGTCGTGTTATGTTAGTTTTTATTGGTTTGATCGTAAATTAGGTTGAATTACTTAAAATTGAACTTAGTTTAAATTAATTTATGAGAAAATTATTAAATTATGATTATTTTACATATATAATGAATATATTAATTAATATTAATATAAATATATTATATTCAGATTGTCGTGTCGGGTTTGAGTTGAGAGCCTCAACCCTAACTTGACCCGTTTACTATCGTGTCGGGTTCATGTCAACCCGTATACATAATCAGGTTGAAATTTTTGACCAAAACCCAATTATTTCGTATAAAATTGTCGTGTCGGATCAGTTTTTGCCCGCTCTATTCTTTGCATGTGTTTTAAATAAATTTTTGATTAAATATATTAATTAACAAATTAAGTTAGTAATATATGTCTTGTATCTGACAGATAAAATTAAGAGATATCGAAAATTTAAATTACAATCATAAGTTCACTCAAACGACTAAACAATTCATTACAAGCCTATGCATTTATGTCAAGTAGAAATACGAGGTGTGTTTATTTTGTAAAATAATTAAAAATATTTTTTTTTATGTTAAATATAAAAAAATACGTAGAGAATATAAAAATTATAAATATATATAATATATTAATTTTATTATTATTTTTTTTTTAAATCCCATTGGAGAAAAAGATAAAAAGAACAATCCCAGAGTTATAAATTTTAAAATCTGGATAGGGACATCAATTATTAATTGGTGTGGGGGAATACTTTTGAATCTTGAATAAGTGTAACCACGTGTGAACTTAATACACAAGAGCCTGTAGGCCCACACGCACTCTCCACGTCTTCAACACACACTCACCAACTACTTATTATTTTTTAAAAAATAATTAATTCATTTTCAAATTGGTCACTCCCACATTTAGGGTCCACTAAATAAAATTAAAAAAAAAAAATAGTAAAAAAAATGAAGATAAAGAAATATAATTGAAAAAAAAATATATAATTGACTAGGAAAATAATAAATAATTTTTTATTTAGTAAAATAAAAAATTCGAAAGAAAAAAAAAAATATATAT